AGAGGAGTAGATCTGAGGGGATGGTTGATTTTTTGGATGGGTTAGAATTCTGGAGGCGCGTGAGGTGGTTGATGGTGGCGCGTATGGTGTGAAGCTGGTGTAGGAGTTGGTCTGGGACAGGTGGTGGTGGTTTGGGGGATTTGGGGGATTGGAGGGTGGAGGAGAGGTGGTAGAGGGAGATAATGTTGGTGGCCACCATGGCTATAAGGAGGAGCAAGTTCAGGGTCATGGTGGTGAAGGTGAACCCCATTTTCCTCACTCACACTCACTCTCTTACTCTCACTCTCACTCTCACTCTCACTCACAGAGTTTGTGATTATCTCTCTCTTTGCCTTTTTGTTTTGGTTTGGAGTAAATTAGTGTTGGAGAGCTATAATTGCTGTTTTTGAGATTCAACAGTGGGGTTTGGAGGTTGACTATTTTGGACTTGATTTACCTAGGAGTGTAGTGTGTAGGAGAATCGATGCATACCAAATTCAAACCTTTGGGTAGGGTGGTAGGGCACTGATTGGGATCTGTACTCTTTGTAGGACCAGGAATCTATATTTACTGTTTATGTAAATCTAGGATGCAGAATCTATTATATTTCTGCTTCTGTTATGCAAAATGAACCAAAATTTGGTTTATGCTAAGTAAGTGGTTTTCTCTTATTTCAATATTGGTAGAGTTAAATGTGAAGTGGATGCGATGTTAAGTTTATGCGAGGGGTTTCAATGACTTGAATAGAAAGGACTTTGGATCTGGATCTGATCTAATGTGTGGTCTTGTTATATTTCAAGAATTGCATATCTGCTAACAATTTCAGCACATTTATGCATAACATGTGTTACCCACATTTTTTAATTGTTTCTGTTAGGGTTGAGAAAAAGACCGACCCGTCCGAAACCATTGCACCGTCTGGCTTCGGTATACGAATTCGAGTTATTTGAATAAAAATATTTGGATTAAAGCGGGCTTTTACAGTTTAATACAGAGTTTAAATTATAGACCCCTAGATATCTTACCTGTGAGTTGACTATAAAATTAAAAGTTTTAATGCCAGTTCTAATTCTGAAATATTCAAGAAAAACACTGGGTGAATGGTGTTTTTTAATTATTTTTTTTTTGTAAAGCAGCTTGTAAGGATAATATATATAAACTGGAAAATGTTTTATGCTAGTTTCTAACTAGATTGGTGAATCAAAAGCGTTATTAGATAGGAAAATAATAAATCACATATTTTTATACTAGTTTGTTTAATCTGAATCATTCCTCATTTTCTCTTAATATTTATTAAGGAGTTCTACTAATTTTTTTCAAGATTACATGAGTTTTGTCTCTCTAAGATCTCACCGAGTATTCTCACCACTATTAGTTACAACGAGTATTAGCATCACTCATGGTTTCTAGTTAATACGACTTGATCGAGTTTAGCCACTCCTGGATCTAATCCTAGACAACTATTTAGACATTCAATTCAATTGAGCTGAACAACCAAGTATTTGAGTTCTTTTCAGAACTAATAACAAAACCACAAATGAATTTTCTACAAGGTACAAAGATGATTAACTCTCAACGAGAGGATATGTATTCTAATACAATATAATTTGTGACACTTGAAAGTGTTTCTCTTTTTCACTTGGATTTTCCTCTCAAAGAATATTGAGCTTCAGGATGTATGAGCACTGCGAGCTTTTCTTTTTATTCTCTTCACGTTGCTATTCTTATGTTCTTTTTCTTGCATTTACAACAATCTTCTCTTTAACCATTCTTCTACATATAGATAACCATTAGACAAAAAATTGACTTCTCAAGAGCTGGTAGCCTTTAGATGTGAAGTCTAACTTTAGTCTACTTTGTAGGGTCCAAAGTCTTTTCTTATAGGCTTAAGTGAAACTTGAACTTGTACGATGTGACAAAGCAAATGGCTTCAAGGAAATATTCCCAAAATGTTCTTAATTTTTCACAATGTCTTTTTCTTGGGTGTCGTGACCTTGTTCATATCTTTCTGCTTTATTAATCTATACGGATAATACCAAGAACAAAGTATACAAGCATCGAAGTACTTTTTCGTACATGCATTAAATATTTTGAACATTGATAACTGTTAAAGCATGTTCAAGAAATTTTATCATTTGTCATTTTTATTCATACATGCATTGTTTGGTAAGACAAATGTATATTCATCAGATAGTATAAACTTAAGATGTTTTCTCAAAGGCTATAGCATTTAGCGGTCACTTATCAGATGATGTTTCCTCTAGAAAAATTTTCTTGATATAACATTGTATTTGAATGAAAATTTCTTTTAATCCTAGTGTTATATAAGAGATAGACTTTTGTTTTCATAAGAAGTTAGTTTGTTTTTCTCATATAGTCTATGAAATGATTCAATAAGAGACATTATTTATGATTTTCTGAATCATTTAATCAATTTTGTCTAAAAAACATTATTTTGGGTGTACCTTCGTCTAAGGCCTCGTCGACAATCAATAGTTATTGGTTCAACCACTAGGAAACTTATGAAATGTTTTTATGGTCCCTTCCAAGTTACCAAGAAGATTGGTGAAGCTGCATATGAAGTAGACCTGCCACCTTCTACCAAAATTCACAATGCTTTCCATGTGAGTCTCATCCATTCTCACAAGGGGCCATTACCATCATCTCCTCTGTCCCTCTCACCTAATATTGAGGATCACCAACCAATTTTGGAACCAGCTGCAATTGTGGATTAGGAGAGAGATATTGATTTCCCACATCTGGCATTCAAGTATTGATCCAATGGAAGGGCTTGTCACTGAAAGCAACAAATTGGGAATCTTGGTCTCAGGTTCAACAATAATTTCACCTTGAGAACAATGTGCTTCTTGATCAGGGAAGGGGTGTAAGGACTACAAAACCCATATTACTTGATTCACCTACAGGTCCAATGACCACTTCATATACAAGTCCCATTATAAGTCAGAACCAAGCAGGTGCATCAGATAAAGACTATAACGATTACACCAAAGGATTACATGCCAGCCACGTTACCTTAGGAATATGTGGTCATGTATTCCCATAAAAAAAGGAAAAACCATTAGGAAGGATTGATTGATAATATTCCTCGTATTTCTTTTTATTATTTGCACATGATTACTTAATGCAAGGTTATTACCAAGTGCATATAGCATTGTATAAAAAAGAGAGAGACAATAAAAAAAACATTTTGCCTCTGTACTCATTCTTTCCTTTTTGATGTTCTTCTTCTGTTGTTCTATTATGTGTTACGATCAGTTTCTTTCATTATCCATCCACATATACCCCATATTTGATATTATTCAAAATTGACTAACTCAGTGCTTGAAATAATCAGATATAATTTAAAATAATAAATTCAGATTGTGCTGAATTAATTGTGTTGAACCCAAATTCAATCTAAATCAATTGTTGCTAAGGCTAATTTCTATAGATAATTTGTATCTTTCTCGTTGTTACTAATCACTAAAAAAAGTGTTAATTTGAATTTGGTGACCGAGTAGTGGGGCTCACAGATAGTTTGTATCTTTATTTCCTTTTTATATCTTTTATAAAGCTAACTTTTGACGGAAAAGGAAGAAACTAATCTTCATACATGAAAACGAGTGAATGTTTCTTTTTGTCAAGGGTAAATAGTTGTGGAGCTATCAAAAAAAGTCATCACATACTTATTTCAACAACCATGCTGCTTTTAACACTATTTTTCAATCAAAATTAAACAGTTATCTTCCTATTGTACACATTAAACGTTAACACCAATTATTGAGATGAATGATTTTAATTAAAATATAATACCTTTAAAATGTTTTTGGCAGAACAAAAGCAAGAAACTTATAACACTTAAATTCTATGCATATTTTAGGGGAAAAAACAAACGTTGGCTCGATTTGCTAAAACTTCTTTTAAGAAATTGAATTCAAACTTTACACTTCAGAGTTATAAAACACAGGGTATGAACCCAAATAGAAAATTGATTCCATAAGTAAAAAGACATGAAACTTTGGTACCAGTTTTCAGAGTGTAAGAATATGGTGAGAAACACTTATGAAAAAAAGTTCTTCGATGATTGAAAGTAGGATTAGGATTTATTTATGATTGACTAGAAAAGAAAATGGTAGTAGTTGAAATTAGACGTAAAAGTTGTGATATAAAATTATAAAATAATATATAGCAACAAAATACACAGCAAAGAAAATAACAATCACGTCATAATCCAGGTTCATAAAAAAAATAAAATAATAATTACTCAGTTAAAAAATATAAAATTTGTTAATACTCAATAAACTACAAAAATTTTATAGGAAATTTTAAATTTGTCAAAACATCAAAATTTAACTTTAATCTTAATGTAAAACAATTTAATCTGTATTTATGATGAAATATTACTTTATAATGACAATATGTAAGAAAATGTTTAAAACAAATATAAAGAAAACACATCCCAGTTTTGAAGACTTCTAGAAAAAATTACACACTTCAAATACTAAAAACTTTCATTCGGACATAAATTAAAAAATATACAATCTCTTAAAGAATAAATAAATCATTCAGAAAAAGATTAAAAAAACATACACTTTCAAAGAAAAAAAAACTATTTGGGCACAAATCAAACTTGAATAATGCAAAAGTACCTGCTGAAAGCAAATATTTTTATCGTCGTGACTGAACACAAAAATAACACTCCATAAGGGTTCACAAATTACGATAGAAATAAATAAGTCAGATCTCAATATTTTCTCCTAACTACTATCACATACAATTTGCTGATTTGATTTGTTTAGAAAAAGAAAAACCCAACAGCCGAGCACATAATTCTAAAAAGAAAAGCCAACACCCAAGTGACCAAATGCATGACTTGGAAATTTTATATCCCCATATTCTGGGTATGAACCTTTCTATGGCTTTAAAATTTAGACTACAGAATCATGAATCATATAATCATCAAAATAAAAAAATAAAAAGTACGTATGAAACATTTTTTTCTGTTTCCAGAGCACGATGTAAAAAAAATAAAAGTAACCATACAGCCACCTAAATGATCAAAATACAGTGGTGAACAATTTTTTAGTTCCGCATTGAATGAGAATTAAACAATTTCAGAAGACAATATTAGCAGGCAGCTATTATCCAGGCACCTAGAAATTTTGAAACACAAAAGCCGCCTTCGCATATCTTTTCAGACAATCCTCTCCAACTCCCTAGCATAACTAAGTGTCTGGTTGATGAGCTGCAGAGAGGGAATTTCTTTGCACGGAGCAGATTCTTTTGCCTTTTGGAAAAAGACACTACCATTCTTTATATCCCACTCAGGATGTTCCTTCAATAAATAGATAATAACTTCAGAACATGAGAGAAAACAAATGTAATTATTGAAAGAGATATCAATATTTTCCATGTCCGTTTGAAACATGAAAATAGAATTTATAATTATAATTCCAATTCCTATTCTAACAACTGGAATACTTGAGATCATGATTTATAGATTTGGTCTGTACAAATAATTAGAGTGTAGAATTATAAGTTTTAACTTCAATTTCCTTTTGTTAGAGGATGAGTTATGTCATGTTTGAATAAAAAATATTAATTTGAAAGTGAAAATGGAGAAAATAGTCACCGGTCATGGTAACAGAGGGACAATAAGTGGTGGCACTGGTCACAGCGGTGGGGAAAGGGTGATGACAACAATAGTGATGGTGGTCTTGGTGATGACAAAAATAATGGTGGTGGTCTTGGTGGTTGAATATAGGTGGTGACAATAGGAACACTGACAGTGGATAGTAGTAATCGTGGAAGCTAAAGCGGAAATAAATAACAGGTATGTTAAAGGGGAGTGAAGTGTGGAAATTGTGATTCAGAGGTAGAGGTTAGGAATTGTTAAAGTGTGAATGTTATTAATATTACAATTCCATGGAATTGTCTTTTCAATTCTGAAAGGACTTCGAAACATAACCATCATTAAAGATCAAAGGTTGAATTCCGAATGTCAAGTCCAATCTCATGCCCAATTCCAATATCAACACCTCCCTCCCCCGGCAAAGAAACACAAAAATTAAGGGGACATAAGATGGTTCACCTCTTTTATATATTCCAGGAGTTCCTGATCTAATGAGAACAATAACATTTGCTTTGCATCCTTAATTGAAAGATAGTCATATGCCTTCTCGCTACAGCCTGCTATTTCATCTCTGAATGTTTGAAGATAGGTAAAAACTAATTAGAAAATCAATATAGATGCACCATCGGAAAAGAATAGAACCACTAGAGAGGCAGGTGTTTGAGCTTTAAGTTTACAGTAAAGGTCGTGCTTCCATCAAATTGCCATTGCAGGAAGCAAATAAAATATTATATAGAATTACAAGAATAAAAATTACTCAAGTTAATGATAATTCTAGAGATCAGTTTGGAAGAGAAAATTCCAAAACAGTGTAAACTATAAGCCCAAAATAAATCAAGTAGGGGTTCCAGTTTCCTCTTGTTTATCACTTGAGTTCAACCATCCCCTATGCAATCAAAATAAAACAATAATAGCAAATATTACCTGACAGTCTTTGCCAAGAGATCCATGAAGTAAACGTATGTATCATGCGGTACAGTCTGTCTAGCACTCAAGACACGATTATATGCTCCTTCCATAAAAGATTGTTCCAACTCCACGGCATGCTTAATGCAAGGATTCTCTAGTGCAGCAGAAGAAAGTAATTCCAACTCAGTATGGAATTCAGCAATCCTATTCTGCACAAGTAGTCTCAACAGGTTGAGACCGAGTATTGGGTACTCCTGAGGTGATGGTGGAAGCCGATTGCTGCCACACAAGAAAAGCCCCCATGAAATACAAGAATCCAACAAGGAAGAGTGAAAGAAGAATTGCAAATAACATCATATTTTAATATTGATACTACTTTAATACTTCTTGGCATACACTATACAAGTTTATAAGTGAACAATCAGAAGATGTCCATTCTTTGCTTTCGTTGCAGATTTATCTGTTCCAGAGTAGAAATGGATATTTTGTGTAAAGAGAGGGACAAGCAAAAGTTACCAGGCATCTGTATAATAAGGTTTCAACTGGAAGAAATCCCTCTCAAAGGCATCTTGATCCTCGGTTTTCACACTAAGGACAACAGCATGCTCGTATATATCCCCTAGAAGTTCAAAAAACCAACAGAAAAAGGAAATCTTAGATATAGAACTTTTAACTTTTTTCCTTTTCATTTTTGAAATATTTATTGTCTTATTCATGTTGATATGATTCAGTCATTGAGATATAGTTTATTAATTTCCTTGATTATCAATATGGTTCTAGAAGTGCAAAATCCAACAGAAAAAAGAAATATTAAATATAGAACTTCTAACATTTTTTTCTTTTACATTTTTGAAATATTTATTATCTTAACCATGCTGATGATTCAGTCATTCAGCTATTGTTTTAGTAATTTGTTTCATTCAATCAATAAGGCTCTAGCTCATTATTCTGCTGCCTCCAAGCATCTAACATTTTCTAAATTTAGATGAAGAAAAATTTATTATACTCTTTTCATTCTCTTCTAGTGCAGAGTAAACCACATTAACCATTCCTCATATGGTAAAACAAAGGTTAACTTCTCTCAACAACCAGATAGCAATATTATCTTCTAACAACAAACACTATTGTTAAGTTTCAGCTTTACTTACTGCCTACAAGATAGAGGGTAAAGAAGAGAAATTCCATTTTCAATCACAAATAGCTTACAGGAAAGCCAGTGCATATTGATATCCTTTATGAATCAGCAAATTTAAGATTTGCGAACAGGTTTCGCTTTACTACTTAAATAATTAGTCTAAGCCTAAGCAATGGCTATAGGCCTATGAACACAAAAAAGATGGGGGTAGGGGAACGCTGTAACAGATTGGAGCGAAGAGTGTTACTTGCTATTGTTAACTCATGAACAGCATTAGGTGTATCTGCAAACAATGGTGGAAGGCTTCTGAACCCTGTCAGTAACACCTACAAATAAACAGCGAGGCAACAATTAAATAAATAACAACAGCTGCAAATAAGCACCAAAAAGAAGGAAGCTAAGACCTTTCAAACCTCCATCTTGTATAGATTATAAATAGACATGAGCTATGAATTCAAGCTGTTTGTAGCATTAATCATAAAAGTCTTTGCCCGATAAATACTAAGAGATCATATTTCCAAGCAAAACCACCCCTTTGAGCTTGAGTGGGGAACTAGTAAATCAATCAACACACTTTATCCTCCACAGTACACTCCCTCTCTCTGATGAGTCAAATCCAAAGGTGAAAACCCAATTTATCTGCCCGGTGCATATTGTTTCCAAGAGATAACTAAGAAAACTTCTTAAATCTACAATAGCGTTGGTTTCAGTGTAATCTATCTTACCCAGAATACTTATTTCTATAATGATCTCAACAGAAGCAACATACCCCATCCGACAACTTTCTCACTTCCACAAGGCCAAGTTCAAAATAAAAATAAATTGAAGAAAAGCAAACAATGCAACAGAATCGATCTTCAAAGAGAAGAAAGAAAGTAAATGATGAGCGAATTTTGGAACTCAGAGCAATAAGTAAACTAGGGTTAGGTTGGGTGGGAAATACCTTTAGTTGAGAAAGGAGATTGGAACAGTTGTCGTAGTCGTTCCTGAGAAACGAAGCCTTAAAGCGATCGAAGAGCTGAGAAACCTCGGTTAGCTTGGGATCCATGTCTTCTCAATTTGGATGTGCAGTGCTTTCACAACTTCGAAAAAGAATAGCTTGAGTGCTCCCAACGAAAACCTTAGTAGACAAGAATCAGAGGGATACTGAACGCTTCGCGACTTTCATATTTCTATGAAATTGGCCTCGGGCTTTAAAATATAGGCCCAACCCATGTTTTATCAGTGTTGACGCCCTTTATTTATCATGTGAAAAAAAAGGGTCAAGAAATACATTAAACATCCAGCATGCAATCAGATCGGCTATTGCTTCCTACATGCCCACAATTACTAACTGCACCTCCTTTCACAGTATTAAGAAAACACTCCAATAACTTTCACCATTGTATCACAATTACTACCACGAGGGATGATAAACAAATTCGTTGAAGGTTATTCCATGACAGATAGTTGTAAATATTTATTACCTGTGGTAACAAGTAACGAATATTTTAATATCTTTCTAAACGGGTTGAGTATAGATAATATATTATTCTGTTACTCGAATAAAATAATAATAATAAATTAATTTATATATTTTTTAATTAAATTTAATTAAAAATAAAATAAAATTATATTTTATTATACTATATTTAATTAAAATTAAATTATAATTTATATTTAATTTATATTATATTTTTTTGTATTTTTATTTAAATTTTATTTTTAAAAGTATAAAATATTTTTTTTGAATATATGCGGATATTCAGATTTAAAATATTCACATATATTTTCTAAGAGAATACTCACACAAATAGTGAGTGAGCTGTGGGTCAAATTTTTATTTTACGAATCAGATTGCGAATAGACGTACCCGACGTGTTGTCCTCCTTAATTACCACTCTCACACTTTTAGTGCTTCCACAAAAAGAAAACAAGAAGAAGAATTTTGTTGAAAAAAAAAGAGAAGAAAAAGCTTGATTGGGAAAGTTTTTTTTAAATGTAATTTATATATTCCTCTTTCCAAAAGTATTCTATGTAAGAATATTTCAGAAAATTCATTTTGGAAGATATTTTATGAGTTTCGAAAAGTTTTTATTCCAAAAATCTCCTTCTGAAAAATTTATTCTGAAATTCATTTCACACATTCTAAAAATGCTCTTCTGATTCTGAAAATTTTAGTCCTCTAATTTCATTTCAAAAATGAAATTTTTGTTTGAAAAATTAAAAAAAACTTACTCGAAAAGTTTTCAATATATGTAATCTGGAAGTCATTTTTCTTGAAGATAAAATGTTCATATCGATGTTGGGAGTGTGCGAAGAAATTCGGAAAGAACAGGAAGTAAAAGTAGATTCACTTCGATCATAAGAACATATTAAATTTTATTTTTAATTAATTGTATTTATAATATAGTTCTTCAAGAAATATAAAATTTGGAATTTTTTTGTAATGTATAAATGTTGAATATATTTCGTGAAGATTTTTTCCAACTTTTCATGTATGATCCAAGTTACAACTTCATACTTTCACAACTCCACACTAAGATGTTTCAAGTATTCGTTTCTCCGAGACCAAAAAATGTTGGGTTGGTTAAAGTACTCTCTGACGTAAGTTAGTAGTACATCATATAATAAATGTAATAATGACGAATTAATTAATTATTTTATAAATAGTATTATTTATAATAAATAGGTTAAACTCCTATTTATGTAGATTTTGTTTACTTATATCTCCGTTTTTTTAAATCTCCAATTGAGTTCTAAATAGTGCTAATTTGAATCAATTGGGCTTCTGCCATTAAATTGGTTTAACAGTTGAGGTAAAAGATTGACGTGTCAATTTGTTAAACATGACATTCTTTACGTTGTGTACATGGAATATATAATTAAAAAAAATTTCAAATTAGGGTTCATCATCTTCAACCTTACCTTTGATCATCTTCAACCTTAGGCGTTAACGACATCTCCCGAAAACAGTTCACCTCCTGTTCTGTTGTTTTCTCCTTCTTCACCACCAGCTTCACTTCCTCTACCTCCTCCTCCTGGCGTCGCCGCGTCCTTTCGCCTTCGGCCTTGACTGTGGCATCCACCGCGCCTGCTTCGAGCGGGAAGTTGAGGGCGGCCTTTGAGCCACAGAGCCTGAAGGCAGCACGGTTGTTGGCCTTGGCGGCCTCGATGGCGGTGCCGAAGGTTCCAAGCCACACTCTCGACCCGCGCTTGTTCGAGTCGCGGATCTCGGCGACGAACTTTCCCCAAGGTCGCTGGCGGACTCCTCTGTAGTGCTTCTTCTCCAACTGGTTCTCCGGTTTCCCAAATTGGATCCACTCGGCCTTTTTGGGGAGAGAGATTTGTAAAGAAGGTTTCCGATTTAATTGAGGTTTCTTGTGAAGCGATGTGGGGCTCTAGGAGCATACCCAGAAAAATGGTTGCCAGAAATCCACTGTTTGACAAAACAGGCACTCTAACTCAGGGGAAATCCACTGTTACTGCTGCGAGGGTATTCACAAGAATGGACCGCCAAGAATTTATTACATTAGTGGCTTTTGCTGAGGTGACTTTCAATTTCTGGATGATGGTTATTACTTCGACCGTTGATTGTTTTTCTATATGTTTCTGCTAAGTTAACTTCCATGGACTGTATTTGGAGGGTTCAAGTTTTATTATTAACAAGACATTATTGTTGTGTAATGTACAGGAATTACATATGCTGGAAAGGAAGCTATTGTTGAATTTAGGGTCTGGGTGATGGACAGGGAAAAGTAATTCTGGGTGGTGCTTGATTGTAATGGAAGATGACTTTTTTTAAAAATTTTTTAATTAAAATGTTAAAATGTTTTTAAATTCCACGTATAGCTCTTTGAATGTCAGTTAAAAAAAATTGACACGTCAACCTTCCATCTCAGCAAAAACTTAACCCCCTTTAAGCTAAATTAACGGCAGAGACTCAATTGATTTAAATTATCACTATTTAGAACTCAATTGGAGATTTTTAAAAAATGGGGATTGAACTGAAAAAAACCTAATAAATAGGACAATTAAAAAGGTTTAACCTAATAAATATTAGGCTTATAAGCCCTTACTTAATTGGATATGATATGTAAAGATAAATTATAAAGAATAATTTGTCTAATGTTTGTAAAATGATTTAACTTTTAATATTATCCACACTTGAAAGATAACAAGATTAACAAAATCTCAATTGTAACTAAATCGATATGATATCGACTACAATGAGGCTGACACGATATTATTCCTTACCTTGTATAGTGTGATGATTAAGAATACATTCCACCTCTTATGCTTATTAATCCCAAAACACTTGGGTATCATGGCCTAATATATCACTAGATGATTATACTGTTATTATGTGAATTTCGATATGATATAAATGTATATAATAGAAATGTTATTCAAGTAAAACTGTTGATTCAATTATTAAGAAAAACATATTCATAATAACTATTTTTTATAATAACTTATTTTAAAAAGATTGCCTTACATTATATATTAAAAATTTATTTTTTGATATTTTAATCTTCAAGTCTAGAATCCCTCGTATCTTATAACATGATTGATAACTTAATTTTTTTTAAGAAATTTAAGGAATGTGTTTTTCATTTTCAATTAATTCACGTGTGTAACATTATTAATTTATTAATTATTTTATTTTTTTATGAATTACTTAAAATTAATTACTTATAATATATAATATTTATTATTGTTTCGGTTGTGGAGGCGAGGTTAACAATCTTTCAAATTTCATCTGTCTAACTTCTTACACTGGGTACCATTCGTTCTTCGCTTCATTCGATCGTATTGGGAGTTTACCTGCAAAAGATATTCTGATGTCGAAGTCAACAAAGATTCAGTAATCTTAGCAATAAATTCGTATTAAATGTAACTAACATACCGCAATACTTGAAACTTATATTTATAGATTTTGAAATGAGTTTTGGATAGCACCGGCCTAATTACGACCCAACGTGCTTTGGCTTAAATTAACCATCATCAATCCTAATCATTGTTTAATGGTGACCACTCGGTTCATGTTGCCTGACCGACTGGTTCACTAAATGTTCATGACTGATTGGATCGTCCGATCCTAAGCTAACCGGATGGTCATATAGTACAACTACTATTTAGTAGAGAATCATATTATGATAAATAAAATAGAATAAACTTGAATTTATTTTGTAATGGATGTATTTTATCAAAATTTAGAACCTAAAATGATGACGAGGGAGTTTAGATAAAGCCTAGCATAGGACCTTAGATAAACCTTTTGTGAAACTTATCACAAAATCAACTTAGATAGACCTAAGTAATTTTAAACACACCAAAACATAGTAATACTTATAACTTTCAGTTTCAATTGATTAAGGTGTGTTTCCTTACAAGCCCAATAAATCTAAAAACATGCTAACACGTTTTAATCCATTAAAAGGCAACCCAAAAGTACACATAGCTCCAAACTATATTAAATGGTTTTCTAACTTGTCTAGTGATTAAATTGAGGTAAAGAACTTTCAAGAAGATGGAAAATAGCCTAAAAGCCATCACATAAACAGGATAAACACTTACTTGAAATAAAGTCTCCATGATCTTTTAATCTTCAAGTGACTTTGACTCAAATAAGGTGTTTGTATTGTATGATCTTCCGACCAACCCAGATCAGACGATCCATACAGTCATATGTTTTCTTGGTGATCGAATGGCTATACCATATGGACCGAATGGTCACCCTTAAACAACAATTAGACTTGATAAAGATTAGTTTACTACAAAACATGATTAACATCAATTGGGCCACAATTAGGTTGTTAGTAATCCAAAATCCACTTCGAAATCTATAAATACATATTTAAGCTATAAAGGTAGACAACTGTTAATTTTCTTTGAATGCCTAGGTTTCTACAATTTTTTTTAAACTCCTTGGAAGTAAACTCTCTTACTCTATTTATGTGTAAGAAAAGAATGTTTTCTCCAACTCCCTTTTGTCTACATGAGTTTTGAAACTTTTAAATAAGGAAAAAGTTTCCGAGTTCTCACTTAAAAGAGTATAGCTAAGTCTTATGGGATAGATTATTAATAAAACTTAGGATATACCTCTTATTACTCCTTGAAGTTGGTTGAATAAGCCCATATATGTCTCCTGAACCAGCTACAACTTCTTTGATGCTCTCCAAAGGCTTTCTTTGATATTGCATTTCAGTGTTATTTCCCTGCCATGCATTGTGTACACAAATCCTTGGGAGTTGTGATAAGAGGTAACCGTTTCACCATTTGTTTAGTGGCCAATGTTTTTAAGCCACCATAACTTAAATGTCCTAACCTATTATGTCATAGTTGAGCATCATGCTTCAAATCCACTTGACAACAAATTGGTGCTCCTCTAGTGGCTGTGAGTATAAACATCTTGTTTCCATTCATTTTTACTTCCACCATAATCTGGCCTTTTTTAGGATGAATAACATTGCACTTATTTTTCTAAATGGTTATAGTCAACCCTTTCTCTTGAAGTTGTCCTATGCTCAACAAATTAGTTTTAAGCTCAGGAACATAAAATACATTATAATAACATGTGTGATACCACTCACTAACATCCAAACACTCCATTTTCCCATCACATCTATGCGGGTATCATTGCTAAGCTTTACTTTATGATGAAAGTTCTCATCTAATTTTGAGAACCAATCCTTATTCCCACTCATGTGGTTACTGCATCTAGAATCTAGAAACCACTTATCTGTCTTTCCTTCTTTGAGTTCCAAAAAGGTCATTAACAAGAGCTCATCCTCTTGTTCCACCATATCTCTATTTCAACATAAATTCACGTTCTTCTCCCACATAGGACATCATATTGAAAATGTCTATTTTATGACATTTGAAGCATTCAATTTCAGCCTTATTGAATGATTGTCTTCCCCTCCCTCTGCCTTAGGGAGATCCTACTCTACTTCTCCTTCTTCCTCTACCTATTCCGCTTCTTTCATCTGTCACAATCTACATCAATTACTCATCTTCTACAAAAAAAGCATCATCTAGTGTTCATGAACCAATAAGCTACTTTATAGTTCATCCATTGTCATGGTATCCATTGGATTCTTCAACAGAACGCACCATATAGTTGATTTTTGTTATCATAGACCGCAAGATTTTTGTAGTTATGACACTCTCTTGCATGTTTTCCCCACATGCTTTCATACTTTTTCTATCTTCAGAGTTTGACCAAAATAAGAATTCACTAACTCTCCTTTCTTCATCTACAGTGTTTTAAAATCCTTGTGTAAGGCTTGTAGCTGTGCTCTTTTCATCCGTGTTAAGCCTTGGAAATTTTGCTCCATGCAATCCCATATATTTTTGGACATCTAATAATTTATAATTATATCCAGAATTTCAATATCAATTGCTTGATAGAGATAATTTTTTATCTTTAAATCTTTCAGCTTCTACTCCTCCAATAGTTTGAGTTTTGCCTTGGTTGCTTTTGTTTTATATGGAGTGACTATAATTCCATGCTACATTAGATGCCAATATTTCTTTGAATGAAGGAAATTCTCCATTAATTTTGCCCGATTGCTCGTAATGTCCATCAAATTTTAGGATCATAGGTTGTATGCATTTGATGGATTTTGCCATTACTATCAATTTCTCCTTAAACACTTACTTAAAGATGTTTCACTCAATCTCACCTGATTCCCTTGACTCTCACTTGTTGATATCAAATTATGAACACAAATAAGGTATTTTTTTTTTAAATTATGTACAAGTTTGTATTAATAAAAAACTAAAACATTATTACATTTTATAATCACGTATAAAGTAGAAATGGTAAACTGTCTGTAATGTAGAGACCGACTAGTACATGTCTGTCGGTTGGTCAACCGTATGGAAAGTAAACTTCAGAAAAAACCACATTTAGATAGACTGAACGACGACTAATACTTGACTCTGTGACCGTTCGACCTAAATATCTTATTTATAGATTAACAAAGTAAAAACATGTTCAAGCGATATTAAGCCGCAATTGGGTTAACCCTATTCAAAGGTCCATTACGAAACTTATAAATACAAGACAAGATAAGAAGGTAGGTGATTGCATTTATTGGGCATTTGAGACTTAACTGTAATAACCGATCGATAATCGATAACTAACTTGAGCATCATAGTGCCTTTAACATGTACTCACCGCTCGGATTTGGATCGTACAGCAAAAATACAGACATATTTTAAGGAGAGGAAACACTAAATTGACGTGATAGACAATGTTAAATTGTGAAAGTATGATTCTCAACTCTATATACTAAAACACTATCCAATCTGACTATTTGAGTACTACCTAACTAAATCATAAACTAAAACTTAGCTTTCAGTTCTTAAAAAAAAAACTAATTTATTTAAATAAAAAACTATAAAATATAAACCACAAATACCTAATAAACTAATAAACGAAGTATATAACGTGAGGGTATTATTGGACAATGTATCTTGAACAACAATGACTTAAATGTGTATATTGTAAAAGAGAAATATTTTAAAGATATATCTTTTAAAAGATAGATATATCTTTTGTAAAGATGTATATTGTAGAAGTTAGATATTTCACTCAATGAAAATCCATGACAATGAGTAAATTACATTATAAGAAAATCCATAATAAAACTTTCAGATGTTGAAATCATATATATATATATATATATATATATATATATAATTTAACATGAAAAGAAAATGATAATAACTATATTCAATATCTTGAAACATTCTCGCTGTTCTCTAACTTTATTTTCATTTAGATATGTAACCATTCCTTATCTCTACATTCTTAACACAAACGATCTCAAACTATTTTAAACTACTATTTTTTTTCTTTTATCATAATAATTAGTTTAATTTCTATAATTATCATTTTATAATATCTATAATATTATTATATAAAGAATTTTTTCCACATTTTTAATGTTATTCTCGAAATATTCATTTTTCTTAACTTTAATAATCTTTCTATTTAACTCTTTTTTAAAATTAAATAAATAAAATCATCTACAAAATAAATAAAAACTATCTATTATTAAATTATAAAAATTATTTATATTTATTTTTATTATTATAATAATAATATTATTGTCTGTTATTATAAAAATAGTGAATATACTGAGCATGTGTTCCCACTAACGTCTTTAAATCAAATTTTTATTGTTTACAAATAACTATAAATAAAATTATATTATAATTTAAATGTTTTATTGTGAAAGTTTATAGCGTAGAGCTTTGTTGGAATAAGAGAACAAACTGATTTGATCGGCCACACACAACCGCTTATTGCTAACGCGACCTCCTCTTCCTCCTACTGCATCATCAGAGACTCACTAGGGTTTCTTCTGCACACCCAACCAAATGGTACTCCCAATTCTCATTCCATTGTTAACCTCTTATCTACTTTCTTATGCCTCTGCGCTTTTTTGCTCTTCCAACGAAAACACTCAATGGAATCGCTCCTAAAACTGCCTGTTACCAACACTTTTTGGTTCTGCAAATTTTAATTATTATTACTTACTAGTTAATTAATTAATTGTTTTCTGCTTCAGGCTGATCCTGAGTTGGAGGCAATCAGACAGAGAAGGATGCAGGAGCTTATGGGTCGCCGAGGCGTGGTTAGAGATAATTGCTTTTTACTCTATTATTTATTTTTTCATCCTAAAGGTTGATAATTTTCTTGCAATTATTTTATTTTTGCTGATTTGTAGGGAAATCAACAGAACCCTGAACAGGAGAAGGCTCAGGATGATGCAAAGAGGTGTTAGTTTATGAATGTAGATTTTTTGTGTTGTAATAAGCTGATTATTTTGCCTCACAAACTTGGTCATCTTTTATTTATGTTTATTATTCTTGCCCTTGGAGTAAAATCACTTATTGATATGTATGGATAAACAATTAATTTAGGGAGGCTGAGGAACGAAGACAGATGATGCTTAGTCAGATATTGTCTGCTGAAGCGCGAGAAAGGCGTAAGCAATTTTTTCTGTCTTAGTGAACATATGCATACGAATGATTCTCTTTATTTCCTTTACTACTTTGTTGAATGGTTGTGTTAAAAAAAAATACATGGATGTGTTTTGTGCTGTACTGTTGGTAGAAAATAAAAGTGAATATTTTGTGGTTTGTGATGGTATATGTCAAAATTTAAATTCTTCTATTAGTCGTGCATGCATCTATGAATGTAGAGACCCATTTTGGGGAGGTTTTATTGATGTTATATATTGTAGTTGTGTTGCTTTCCTAAATTCTACCTGCAAATTATTTATCAAAACGCTCACTTTTGAAAGAAGATATTAGTATATTTGGGTAACTCGTAGATTTTTGTGCCTAAATAAGTTTCAATCCGAGATACGTACGAAGTGTTGGAAATCTTATGAAGTATTTTAATACTGGCTTTTGGAATGTGCCGTATCATTTTGTGGATATTGAAGTTTAGTAGGTACTTTTGCTTTGTAAAATAAATAGTGAATAATGTAGTGTGGAATTGGAGAAATTGTGTTGTATAGGTGTAATAGGGATTATTTGTTTAATTGGCCTTTTGATTTTTGTTTGGACTTCATTAGTCATCATCTTGGTATTATCTTAAGGTTTTTAGTCAATTAATTGGGCAGACATGAATAGATTTCATGCATTATTTCAAATTTCTTCTGTCTTTGTATGCAGTCGCTCGAATTGCTTTGGTGAAACCTGAGAAAGCAAGGGGTGTCGAAGATGTTATACTTAGAGCTGCTCAAATGGGTCAGATAACTGAAAAAGTATGTTGGATCTTGTTTTCTGCTAAGTCTTTTGCTTATCACCAATTGTAGGCCATATTCTTATTTTAAACTTTATGTACTTTATGGTATGATGTATTTTTGTTTGATCAGTGAAGTTGTAGTTGCATCATTTATTTCTTTGGCCAACTGATAATAGGTCCTCAGTCTATAATTGCATTTTATGCAATTAAGTGACAACTGCTAATTATGTTTAGCGTTCTTATCTTCCATGTGTTACTTAGATGGAATATTAGTGTTGCTTCTTGGGGTAATCACTTCTCTAGGTATAAGTGTATAAAGAGATTCCCGATGCATGAGGCTCCCATTTAGTGGCTTTTGGTGAGGATGGATGCGTGCCCCTGCACATGAAAAAGTTGTTTCCAAGATTTGAACACCGTGACCTCCAGGTCACTAGGCAACAACTTTATCGTTGTGCCAAGGCTTATATTAAGAAGTGGATTTAAGCCTAAACCCCAAAAACCGAGGCTTATATTAAGAAGTGGATTTAAGCCTAAATCCCATAAAACCGGTTTGTGATGTGAGGTTTGCACCCACTTATATATTATAATTTGGTCGTATATCTAGTCGATGTGAGACTTCCTACGGCTTACCCTGCTAGATATAACATAACAACTTTATGAAGTATCTGTTTATCTACCATGCCTCTAACACACTCATGGCATATTTAGGTCTCTGAGGAAAGGCTCATATCACTGCTGGAGCAAATAAACACTCAAACTGCAAGGCAGACTAAAGTTACAGTAAGTTTTGTAGAATATTTGTTACATTTTCTATTATCATTTTCTGAAGTATATACCATGCTAATTTTTTTGTCATTTCAGATACAGAGGCGTCGAAGTGTTCTCGAGGATGATGATTAACTGTCACTGTTTGTTCGAACGGTGTGGCTCGAGTATCGATTTCATGCTTTATTATGTATTTTAGCCACAATGTATTGTAAAAGAGGATTGCTAAATTTATCCGTTTCAGTTTGAAATTTTGGTTGCCTTATCAGG